TAAGGGAAAAAATAATTGGTTTGTGGAAGAAAGCTGACACATACTTACCTTTTAGAAATGAGGTTTATCACTGAGAAGGCAGAGGCAGGCCGATCTCTTTAGTTCGAGATCAGCCTGGTCTATAGAGTGAGTTCCAGGACAGCCAGGGGTACACAGAGAAAACCCTGTTTTGAAACAGGTAAGGGGAGGGGGGAAAGGATTTATTAGGAGAAAGGGCCTTGAGGGCATGATCTTCGTTAAAGATGGGGAGAGAATCTTAAAAAGAAAGGATACAGTATATTAAAAACTGCATACAGGGCCTTAAAGGGAAAGAAACTTCTCTTTAAAACCTTCAGGATAAGAGAGAGGGAAAAAGGAAGCCACCATGAGAAGGGTTGGTAGGGGAGGCCAAAGAGGCACCTTCAGAGAACCTCCTACCCCCAAAGGAGATCCTTTCCTATTACATGATTTCATGAGGTGGCAGGAAGCTTCACACCAGGTTTAGATCAACATAGCATGTGACGGGGCACAGGAGAGCCAAGTATTGATTAGACCATAAATTAGTTGCTAGCCACCACACAACTCCCTGGGAAAGAGCCACAGAGGGGGCGTGGCTTGGTGGCTTCTGACTGTGGGGTGTGCATAACCACTGTCTTAAAGGGGCAGGTATGTGTACTCGCACTTAAGTTGTATACTATGGGTAAGTATAAGAAGTCTGTTACTTGAAGGAAGATTCTGCAGCTAGCTCATCACAGGCGCATTCAAAGTCAAACATCCCCAGATCCTATCTTGTCTGCATTTTGGAGTCTCCATTCTTTCATTATCTTAAGTCATCCACTTTGTATATTTTTAGGAAAATGATACATAATGCTGTATTTTTATACATTCATCCAGTGTGAACATTTTAGACAAGTAACCAAGACTTGAAAGCAGAGAAGTTGTTGCCTCATTTGCAAGGATTGTGTTAGGGGTTCAAGAAAAAACAGAAGCTGGGCATGGTAGCCTTTACTCCCAGCACTTGGGAGGCAGAGGCAGGTGGATCTCCATGAGTTTGAGCCCAGCCTGGTCTACACAGCAAGTTCCAGGACAGCTAGGGCTGCTACACAGAGAAACCCTGTGGGGTAGGGGGAAGAGAAAGACCAGCAAAAAATATTTTCAATAAGGAACAAAATGGTACTGTGTAAGAAACTACAGAAATGCAGATGTTTTATTTTTTGCTTTGGGTTAAATGACCAGGTATTCAGGCTTGGTTTCCATACAAAATTCCACAAAGAATTTGGTACAGCTTTTGTCTCCCAGTAAGTGGAGTCTTTCATGAACATGATTACTATCCTTGGCACCTGAGAGTACCAAAAGGGAAAAAAAAAAAGAGTAAAGAGGGAATTGGGCAAAAAGTCACCCACTCATTTATTAAGAACTGCAATCGGGGGCTGGAGAGATGGCTCAGTGGTTAAGGGCACTGGCTGTTCTTCCTAAAGGTCCTGAGTTCAAGTCCCAGCAACCACATGGTGGTTCACAACCATCTGTAATGAGATCTGGCGCCCTCTTCTGACCCGCAGGCATAAATGCAGACAGAACACTGTATACATAATAAATAAATCTTAAAAAAAAAAAAAAAAAAAAAGAACTGCAATCGGAGGAAGAAGAGGAGCTATAGAATTCAAACAGTAATGGTTATATCTTTCTTGGATATAAATTTGAAATGTGGGGCTAGAGAGATGGCTCTGTGGGTTAAGAGCACTTAACTGCTCTTGAAGAGGAGTTTGGTTCCAAGAACCAGTAGCAGACACCCTACAACCACCTGTTCCTCCAGTCTGCAGCCTCGAATGCCTTCTTCTGGCTTCTGAAGGTAGTGCACATAATCTACTAAGGCACACACACATAAATAAATCTTTAAAATTGAAGTGTTTGGGTGATGCCTACTTACATCATGTCACGTTTCAACCTACGCAGTTACATATGTTCTTTGTACATATTCTATTTTAAAATATATGATTTTCTTCATGCAAAATTGTGTATGAACACAAAAGTTTTATTTAAAAACCTGGTTAACAGCCAGGAAGTAGTAGTAACTCCCAGCACTTGGGAGGCAGAGGCAAGTGGATCTCGCTGAGTTCGAGGCCAGTCTGGTCTACAAAGAGAGTTCCAGGACAGCCAGGCCTACACAGAGAAACCCTGCCATGGGGTGGGGTGGGGGGACCTGCTTAACAAAATTACCTAAATGAGAACTGCCAAAAATGCTGCAAGGATTCAAGAGTGGAACAGCAATCTCCTAACAGCTACACTCAGTTTTTGAGCCCTGTAGAGACAGATGCGAGATCCAAGAGTCCGAGGACGCACCATAAGCACTGGACCATGCTGACACCCCTCTGGCACTGTTCCAATTCCCTGCATGTAGCCAACACTCAGATTCACTGATTTAAGCAGGGCATCAGTATGAAATTTAAATGGTGAAGAGAGCACATTATAAACTAGGTTTTTAAAAGGAGCTAGGTTGTGGTGTCGCATGCCTTTAATCTTAGTACCAGGAGGCAGAGGCAGGTGGATCTCTGAATTTGAGGCCAGCCTGGTCTGGCTAGAGTGAGTTCCAGGACAGCCAGGGATACACAGAGAAACTTTGTCTCAAAAAACAAAACAAAACAACAACAACCAAAAAAGACAAGTGGAAATGTTTTAGACATATTAAAAGAAACAAAAAGGTTTATAAAGTTTAGTCTGGCAAAAGATTGTGATTGGGGATGCATTTTTTTTTTTAAGTACAATGGGAACAGACTGGTTCTATTTCAAACAGTGCAAGAATCGCCAAGGCATAGTTCAAAGATTGGAAAAAGGGATGGATAAGAAGAGGGAAGGGACTTAATACTTCAGAGACTTCCTTTTCTTGCATGTGTGTACTTGTACCACACGTGTGCCAGGTGCCCACAGAGTCCAGAAGAGGGCGCTGGATTCCCTGGGACTGGAAGAGAGTTGTGAGCCGCCGTGTGAGAGCTGGGAATTGAACCCGGATCCTCTGGAAGAGCACCCCATTGCCTTTAATCATCTCTCCAGCCCGCAGAGACTTGCTTCAAATGCCGAGTCAAATCTCGGGCCTGAGAGAGACAAGGAAACGGATGCTTTTGATGTACCTGTCCACCATGTGAGGTTTGCCCTAGCATGACACAGTAGAGGTCATCTCACATTCATCTTTACGTTGACATATTGAGGTCACATCATCTGCCTACACTTATATTGCTGGTAAAGGAAAAAAAAAAGTACTGAATTGAAACCAGAATTCCAACTTATCTTGTGCATTCACATTATACACAAAAGTAGTTTAAAAAGTAAAACAAAAGCACAGGAGTGAGAACATTCACGAAGTCCTCAGTTGTAACCTTTTAAGCCAAAATAGTAGCAATAAATTACTTCTTCAATACCTTTATTTTGACAAATTGACCTTAATTATAAAAAAATATAAATTATAATTGTTTGAGGAACACTGTCAGACATGGTAGTACACTGAGTTAGTTCACAGTTAATCTCCGCTACATGTGGATCAATTGGAGGCCAGCCTTGACTACACAAAACCCTGTCTCACCAAAAAGAGAAAAAGAAAGTGTGTGTGTGTGTGTGTGTGTGCTTTTCTATACCTCTCATGGAAATGGCTCATCGTGTCTTGTATTCTAGTTAGTTTTCTTGTCTGTTCAGTATTTTACAACATAGGGCTGCTCATGCGCTGAGTATTCATTGCTCGGTTAAATAAGATTGTATACCAGTGGCTGGAAATGAGTCATCACAAGAATCCCTGACACCTAAGAAAAAAGAGACAGCAGGGAAGGATCCTCAGGAAAAGCCAGAGGAATGAAGCCTGCAGCAGCCACTTGCCTGAAGATTTTCTTGACACATTCATTCATTCACCCAAGGGCCATGGATTAAAAAAAGAAGTAAAAAGGGAAACGCCAGGCCGTGGTGGCGCACACCTTTAATCTCAGCGCTTGGGATGCAGAGGCAGGCGGATCTCTGTGAGTTCGAGGCCAGTCTGGTCTACAGAGTGAGGTTCAAGACAGCCAAAGCTACAGGGAGAATCCATGTCTCGGAAGAAAACAAACAAACAAAAAACCCCACCAACTCAAAGGCCTCCCTCCCCCAGGAAAACTCAAAGTTCTCCTTACTTGTGACTTTTAGTGTGTTTCAGTGTAAGCTGCTTTCAACGTTCCGAGTTGCTGAGCGAGAAACTCATTTGCTGGGAAGTACCTCAAACAGGCAAGGCTAAGTTGCTCTTAAATGCTATACTTGTACCAGAAAACTATAGAAGCAACATCAACCATCCTAATGATTTAAACATGATCCTTTCCTGGGATGTGCAGGTAGTAAGATTAAAGACTAGCAGGATGGAAAAACGGATGCGGTGTGTCAACAGAACAAAAAGATTCTGCATCTCAGGGATGGAGGGCAGGCAAGCATTTATTAAGCACCTGCTGCATCCCAGGCCTCCCAAGAAGGCACGGGATGATGAAGAGGAGGCTTTAGCTGTGAACGGGAGAACACTACCCTCCGCTCACTCCAAGCCACTTTATTCACACCTTTGGGACTAGCTTAGGCGGGCTCTTCCTCCTTTTACACACTTGGGCACACGCGGTTCTGGGGCGGCAGCGTTCTCTCAGGAGCTCCCAGGAGCGAGGCGCGCGCGGAGAGACGAGGGGTTGGATGTGGGGAGGACGGCGGGCCGCCCCGGGCCTGCTGGGCAGCACCGTCTCCTCGTCCCGTCGGGGCCACCTCAACCGTCCCGCACCGACACGTTCGCGGGAAAGCGCGATCCCACCCACCGGGGAGGTCCACGGAGCTGGAGCGGAATAACGGCAGAAGACGCGGGGGCGGGGCGGGGCGGGGCGGGGGCGGAGCTACAGCGCCAGCCCCGCCCCCAGGCCGTTCCCGCGCTCTCATTGGCTCCGACGCCCCGCCAGCCCCCGCCCCCCGGCCGTTCCCGCGCTCCCATTGGCTCCGGCGGCCACACGCTCCCGGGCCGGGCCAGCTGGCGGCTGGAAGAGCGGGTGTTGCGGCCTGCGGGCGACCGGCGCGTAACCGCCTGAGGCAGCTCGCTGTCGCCGAGGCTGCTTGCGGGGGGCCGCCCGCCCTTCGCCGCTCTGCGCAAGCAGGTACCTTCGCCCTCGCCGGGCGGGCGGGCCTGGTGACGCGTCCCGAGTGTCGGCGGCGGTGCAGCCGGTGCCCCTCGCTCGCTCCCGGGGTCCTGCGTGAGGAGGCGAGGGCGCCTCGGCCCGCCCCCCGCCCCCCAGCAGCCCTCAGCCAGCGCCGCGGGCTCGCGGCCTCGAGCGGGGCCCGGCGCCGCCTCCAAGGGTCGGGCCATCGCGGGAGGCCGGGGGACGGAACCCCGGGGGTGCGGTCGGGAGCCGCTGGAGGGACCCGGCCGCCCGGCAAGGGGGCGCGGGGGGCGCGGTGACGGGGGCTGAGGGGGGTGCGAGCCTTGCCGCTCCGGCCCGGGTCCCACGCCCCCGGCCCCGAGCCGCACCGCGGGAGGATTGAGTGGGGAGCTGCTGGGTCTCATCGCCACACCCTTAGCGAGAGGGTTCTCCCGCCTACCTGCCCCGCGTCTCCGCAGATGGTTAGTTAGGTTGTTCATACAGAAAAACTTAGTATTTGACGATTCTGTCGCCAGGTGCCCTTTAGACTCCACCCGGAGAGAACTTTCCTCAGATGCCTACAAAATTTACAAAAAAAACAAAAAACAAAAAAAAAAAAAAAACCAAACACAACCCCACACCTCACAGACCCCCAGTCGTCGTCATTATGAATTGTGCTATGATTTTTCAGATGTTGGGTAGAATGCATGCAGGTGAATTGAAGGGTGTGTGTGTGTGTGTGTGTGTGTTGTGAGACTTTTCATCTGCAAACCAATATCTACTCACCCCAGATAGGGAACCAGTGACCCAAAAGTAGGGGTTCCACCCGAGTCCAGTTTGGTGAACCAGTGAGTGTTTGTTGGGGTTACTCAGAGAAGCATGGGTGAATCGACCGCGTCACTGAAAAGGCCACCCCAGCATGGGTGATGACTGGGAGAGGGCTGTCTGTACAGGCAGGCAGTCGGTTTCCAATCCTCCGAGTCCTTACTGCTTAGGTAACCTTGGGTCGGGGGCTCATGAGTCTTGTGACTTGTTTGTTTTGTGGGACTCATGAGTCTTGTGAGCTGTTTGTTTTGTGAGCCCCGTTCCCTTTACTTCCCGACTCTGAGGCTGCTTCCCTCCAGGATGGAATGTGCTGTTTGGAGGAAATTACTCCACAGTACCGTTGGGCAGTTTCTCTTAGGCCCCCTTTCCCTCTTTCTCTTGAGAAATGCCCCATAGTTTCATTTGCCTTTTTATTCTTTCCCTCTAGACCAAGAGCTAAGTCAAAGAGATCCTGCAAAGTGGAACTTGCCACAGGCTGTAGCATAGATGGCCCTGTCCTTAAGCTCTTACTCCACAGCCCTTCAGTCTTTATTAACTTCAGTGAAACTCTGTTTGGGAATTTCAGACTTTCCCCTTTTCCTGTTTTCTCAAGTCTTAGATGAAATAGTCTGATACACGGAGTTTGCATTTTCTTATTTACCCATTTCAATATAAAAACGTTACTTGAAAGTCACTTACCATTGAGTCAAAAGGACAGTGTGCCACGATAGTCTTCTGTATTGTGGTGTGTCCTGTTACTGAACCTAGCCCTGCCCCACTCCGTTTGAGAAGCTGAGTGACTGCTTAGTTGTTTTTATTCCAGAAGACAGATGAAGGAAGCAAATCAAAAGACAAGAACTAATTGTAGAACTAATTGTAATTTCTTCAGTCTAATTTTTGTTGTTGGCTAGTTGGTTCTGTTTGTTTACTTTTGAGATACAGTTTCTATATATTGTCCAGGCTCCTCTCAGACTAAAGACATTGCCACGGCTACAAGCACTTGTCTCCATTCCTAACTGTCCTCTGCCCAGTTCTCTCTCTCTCTCTCTCTCTCTCTCTCTCTCTCTCTCTCTCTCTCTCTCTCTCTCTCTCTCTCTCTCTCTCTCTCTCCCTCTCTCTCTCCCTCCCCTCCCTCCCTCTCCTCCCTCCCTCCACTCTCTTCACACACACACACACACACACACACACACACACACACACACACACACACACGAGTTTTTTGCCTGCATGTGTGTCTGTACACTACATACATTCCTGGCACCCTCAGAGGCCAGAAGAAGGCCCGGAATTCCCTGGAACTGGAGTTAGATGCTTGTGAGCCACTGTGTGAGTGCTGAGAACCTGGATTCTCTCAAAGAACAGTGAATGCTCTTAACTGGTGAGCTATCTCTCCAGCCCCTTCTGCCTAGTTCTTTATAATCTAACTCTACACTGGTTAATACTGTAGCTAGTAGCCACATGCAACCATAAACACTTGTATTTGGCTGGGTGCAACAGAAAACTTTAATTTTTATTTAGTTTAAATATAAAATGGAAGGGGTGTAAAATATTCTCTCATACACTACTTCATTTTTATAGGACTACATTTTGAGCTATTTAGTAGTTAGCATAAAATTGAGATATGTATAAAATATCAAAAATGTACCAGACTTAAAAGATTTAGGATGTAAAATATTTTCATTTTATATTGATTAGATGTTAAAATTGCATGTTTGATCTGTTACGTTGGATTTATTAAAATTAACTTTGTTTTCAGCACTGAGGATTGAGTCCCTGCTCTCATGCATGCTCGGCAAGTAGTCTCCCCTCCCACTGAGCTATAGCCCAGCCCTCATGTTTTCTTTTTAAATATGGCTTAAAAATATTAAACTATGTATGTGACTCTCAGATTGGACAGTATTGGTAGTACCCAGCTATTTTGGATGTAGCCTCACCTTCATCAGGGAAGTTTCTGAGAGTCAGGAAGGAGAATCTGTACATAACTCCTTGAGTGCCAAGGGAAGTGTGGCTGCTTGGGTCACTATGAGTCATGGATTCAGATGTTCTTATTAGGATCCTGGAGTTATTCCAGCCTGGTCTACCTAGTGATTTCCAGGCCAGCCAAGAACTACATAGTGAGACCCTGTCTCAACAAAAACCAAATATATATGTATGTATATACATACATACATACATAAATTGTGAAAATTCTACAAAGCACATGTGCCATTTATTTGCTAAAACTGTTCAGAAAATACGAGTAATTGCTTATTGAATATGGAAACTTTGTGACCAAGGAAAACTTAACAGGAAAAAGGAACACCACACTGCAGTAAAGAAAATAGACAAGTTTCAGATTTGATTTTGAGTTCCAGAATAACCAAGGCAAAATGCAACCAGAGGGAGTATATCATTACCCAGAAGAGGCATAGCATTTCTGAGTGCTGTAAGAACAATTTCTAATATGACTCAGTGTTACAAATAACATTTTAATAGCAAGATCAACATTTTATATGACTGCATCTGGTAGTATCCAGCTAGGTTTTAATGTAGAAATGAATGAATGTGATCAATAATTTTGTATTTTTATTTTTATAGGAATCTTGGGAAGCCAAAATGCGGCATAATCAGATGTGTTGTGAGACACCACCTACTGTCACTGTTCATGTAAAATCAGGTTCAAATAGGTCACATCAAACTAGAAAACCTATTAATCTGAAGCGTCCTATTCTTAAAGATAGTTGGCAAGCATCTGAAAAAAATTCACATAATAACAAATCTAAGCGGCCCAAAGGACCCTGTCTAATTATACAGCGTCAGGAAATGACTGCTTTCTTTAAATTATTTGGTAGGTGTAAGACATTTTAATAGTATAAAGTACTTAAGAATCAGAATGTAAAGCTCTTTTGTCAGTTGTTTACAATGTAGTATTTATACCAGCCAAGAAAAGGAGCCTGCTTTTGCAGTCATAGAGCAAGGTAGACATTAGAGTAAGGGATAGGGTAGATATTTCCTGATAGAAAGTCAGATCATAGCACAGTCTAATAGTTGTGTGTAACAGACTTCCTTGTTTATAGAGGAAGGCTATGTGCATGGTAGGATGTAAAGAATATCAAAACTAAATGATGGGATAAAATATGTAGGAATGTAAACAGAAGTTACAAAGATTTTCCCCATCAGAATTGAGAATGATAACATGTCCATTTCTCCTTATTAAGAATAGAACAAAATTATGACCCACAGTAATGCCCAAAACTTTTCTTTACCCCCTCTCTTCTTCCTCCCCACCTCTGTATCAGAAAGGGTCTCACGATGCCAAGCTAGCCTTGAACTCTTTATGTAGCCAAGGATAACCTTGAGTTTCTATTCCTCCCGCCCTCCCCTGCCAAATGCTGGGATTACAGGCAAGCAAAATTCCCATTTTGTTGGTCATCTCCAGCCCTTACCCGCAAGCTTTTTGAATACTCTTCACCTGATTCTACCATGTTAGGTAATTTAAGAAGTAGAAACAGAATTAACATACAAATTAATTCTCAGAAAATCAAGTTATTCTTAGAATTTTCCAAATATTAATTACAATGATGCAATTCATAACATGCAAAATGAATAAAAAGTCCTTTTTGCTTTGTTACTAAAATGAAGGGGATTTTTCTAGATTATATTCTGATAGTTTTCAACATATTTTGAGATCATCTATTTTAATGCTTTCAAATCAAAACAAGGGTTTTTTTAAATTTACTTTTTGGATGTTGCTTTTTGTTGTGTTTTTGTTTTGAGACAGAGTCTCGCCATGTAACCCTGGCTGGTCTGGAGTAGAACAGCCCAGTCTTGAACTCACAGAGATCCACCTGCCTTTGCTTCCCAAGTGCTGGGATTAAAGGCGTGCAACACCACTCTGGGGTAGATATTATTCTTCAAGATTTTGTTGATCTTTTTATCCTAATAATCAGTTTTCTCAAAATTAATTGTTAATTACAAGTCCAAGTAAAATTTGAAGTTATTTATATAGACACATTTATATATATATATTTTTTTTTGGTTTTTCGAGACAGGGTTTCTTTGTAGTTTTGCGCCTTTCCTGGAACTCACTTTGTAGACCAGGCTGGCCTCGAACTCACAGAGATCCGCCTGCCTCTGCCTCCCGAGTGCTGGGATTAAAGGCGTGCGCCACCACCGCCCGGCTATATTTTTTTGAATAATAATGGAGAGGAAATAGAGGAAAGGATCCAAAATGAATAATACCCAAAATGAAAAAAGGAGAAAGTAGAAGAAAAAGTAATACACTTAGAACAGTATTAAGATATTAGTTCTTAGAAGATGAATTATCTTGCATCAGATTCCATATCTGCCTCTTAAAATTGACTGCAAAAGAAGTTACCCAACATGCTGTTGGATACTCAGAAAATAAAGCATATTATTCATGTTTCAAGTTGAGTATATACATAGTAAAGTAAATCAGATGGGAAATAGATGTCCTTGCAATAATAAATATACTAAAAAAATGACAACTAAACTAGCAGCCATTTTTGTTTAATTTCTAAACATTACTTTAAAATGTACCAATATAGAAATTATTTTTTCAAAAGGAAACATTTTAAAGAAGATAAGTCAAAGTTATCTTTTGTTGTAGATGATGATTTAATTCAAGATTTCTTGTGGATGGACTGCTGCTGTAAAATTGCAGACAAGGTAAACCGGAAATAGTATAATCATAAACCATCATTGTTATGTTACTAGACCATTAAAATTTTTATGATACCCAATAAGAATTTTCTCCTTCATTAGGTTAGAAAAACAGCTAGCCTACATTTTTCCTTTAGAGCGGAATTCTTCTGTCATATTCATTTCATATTTGTGTGTGTGTATCACAACATGTATGCCATAGCCAGTATGTGGAGATCAGAAGACAATTTACACAGACTTGTTTCTTCCACCATGACAGCACATGCCTTTACCCACTGAGCCACCTCACTGGCCCCCAAAGCAGAATTCTTACACTTAATTTTTACCAAATCTATTCGGAAACAAGAACAGAGACTCAATACTTTGGTAGCAGGAGTGGAAGTAGGGAGTCGGGGTGGAGGGCAAGGATACATTCTCACTCCAGCCCACCCTGACCTCAAATTCATAAATTCACAATCATCTTAATTCAACCTCCTAAGAGCTCGGAGTATAGACATATATCGTTGTGGTCAGCTAGATTCAATACAGTTTGGGTGGAATTACTTCCTTTAATTGGTATGGAGAAAAAGTTCTTAAGACTCACTCCATTAAGGTGGTCTCATCTATGTTTTATAAGTAATTCATACCAAAAATTCTAGTTATCTCCTGGATATTACTAAAATTCAACAGGCATTAAATTGCTATGTATAAAATAAAATATAATTGCTATGTATAAAATATAATAGCATAAATAACATCTTATTCCATGTTGGCTTCCTCACTGCTGGATAACAACCATAGATTGGCACCTGTCACATACTTTGAAAAACACTAGACAAATGAAAATTGAGAATTGTTCTATAGAACAAATGGCTTGTAGGGCTGGAAAAACGGCTTAGCAGTTAAAAGCACTTGGTGCTCTTCCAGAGGATCTGTGTTTGGTTTCTTCCACCCATATCTGGCTGCTTATAACTGCCTGTAACTCTAGCTCCTGGAGGGTGCATGAGTGCATGCATATGCACACACACACACACACACACACACACACACACACACACACGCACACATGCACACATGCACACGCACGCACTTACGCACACACGCACATGCATGTGTGTGTGCTAATACAACATAATTAAAAATATCTTTAAAATACCAGATCACTCTCTTTTTGCTTAGTATATAAAGAAATGAGTTTCATTGTGACATTTTCATATGTGTATATCATTCTACTTATTTTCTTAAGACATGGACTTACCTATGTAACACTAGCTGGCCTAAAACTTCCTATGTAGACTTGAACTCAAAGATATCCACTGTCTCTGCCTCGAGAGTGTGAGGATTAAAGGCGTGGGCCCAGATGCCTGTCTACTTTATTCTTATTGAGACTTCTCATTCCCCACTCTTCCTAATACTCTTACAAGGTACAATTAGTTTAACATGTTCTTCAGTTAGATGTTAATATTTCATAAACTGTCTAGTTTATTAGGAACAGTGATGTCTACGCTTTTTTGTGGATACATTTCAATATTTGTTTCTATGCTTTTGAGTGAGCTGAATAGTTGCCATTTTACTTTTGTAAACACCCATTTAGACTGGGCAGTCATGTATTAAGTTCAGTAACAGTTAAAATATAAATCAATAGATGAAGGAATGTTTAGAAGATTACTTATGGTTGAATTCTAAGTATTGAGATGAAGGCTTTTATTTCATACTTAAATGTGGCAAAGATTAAAAAAAAAGTTGTTTTTGTTGTTTTTTTAATTTGGGAGGCTGGAGAAATGACTGAGTGGTTAAGAGCACTTCCTGTTCTTCCAGGGACCTGAGTTCAGTTTCTAGCACCCAGACTGAGTGACTTATAACTGCTTGTAATCCAGCTCCAGGTCATCTGATGACTTCTGGTCTTCCCAGGCATCTGCACTCATGTGCACACTCATGCACGCACGCATGCGCGCGCGCACGCGCGCGCGCGCGCACACACACACACACACACACACACACACACACAATTAAAAACTAAAATATTTTTAAAATAAATAATTAATTTTGGAAAGTTTTTGAAAAACTTTATGTGTTTGGGTGTTTAGCTTGTATGTATGTCTCTGCAGCACTTGCATGCCTGGTGCCTTTGAGGGTCAGAAAAGGTTGTCAGGTCCTAAAGACCTGGAGTTATGACAGTTGTGAGCCCCCATGTGGGTGCTAGGAACCAAGCTTCCTCTGGAAGAATAGACAGCACTGTTAATTAATGGCTGAGGCATCTCTGCAGCCTCTGGAGATTGGTTTAGAATGACTGAAACACACACAATTTTAAATAAAGACAAAGACCTTCCATGTGGCTCTTAAAAGTACAGTCATCATCAACGTGGCCATTCTTGTTTCTTTTAACCCTTCTTCCCAGGAATGTAAGTAAGTTACTTTGAGGTAAACCTGAGGCATGCTAACATTTTATCATAAACATTTGATAATGTGAGGCTGGCAGGATACATACATACTACATCAGCTGCTAATGGTGCCTGATGCCTGAGTTGATCCGGGATTCACACAATGGAAGAGAGAATGGAATAGACTTTCCTAAATTGTTTTCTCATCTCCACACCTTGGTGGTGACCTGACACATGACACACATAAATAAATAAATAAATATAAATAAGTGTAAAAATAGAATATGTCTCCAAAAATGTAATCTTTAAAACAATCACAGTGTCAGTTTTCAAATAAACAGTAATGATATATCCAAATACTCAGTTTCTTTAGAGGTGTGGTTAACAGTACAGTTTAAGTGCTTTAATGCTGGAGGACAGCAGGGGGCAGTGTTTGAAAAGTAACTATCCCAGAATACCTGACATTAATTCAAGAGCCCTTTACTTGGAAATGAATCATCTTCTTCTACAATGCCCTTACTAGGTAATGAATACGTATGAGAGAGAAAAAAATTTATATTTTACTTGTTTCAAATTTGAACCATTAGATCTTGGCATATGTTCAAATAGGATAATTGTGTCTTTGTAATATTACATTTAAAATGTGTTTTCTCAATGAAAACTAAGCCTTGCTATCCTAATTTCTGAAATTATTTAAAGTCATTCTTAAATATTATTTTTAAAAGTAACTATTGGTGAATCTCGGTGAAAGATGTTTGGTTAATCGAACTATTTCAACTTCTCTGTAAGTCTGAAATTTAAGTTAGAAAAAATGGAGTTTTAATTTTAGAATGCATCAGCTATAATAAAACTTAGAAATCCACCTAGATAAATATGATAAATTATCAGTAATTCTCATACTATTCAAGTGGGTTAATTACAGGAGACAAAAATAAGTACTCAGGTGATTGTATAAGGATGAATAATGTCTTAAGGTTTAAAGTCAACTATTTTATAGCAGTTGTATTACTGAAAGCAAACCATTAATATTAATTTCTAACTTTTCCTTATAGTATCTTTTGGCTATGACATTTGTTTATTTCAAGAGAGCTAAATTTACTATAAATGAGCATACCAGGATAAATTTCTTTATTGCTCTGTAAGTATGCTTTCTATTAAATGAATTTTATTGATTATTTACAATGTATGTGATTTGTAATAAAGCAGAGACATTAAATTTTTATGGATATTGTTAATAGGCCTTCTTGTGTATGAAAATTATGTATATTTTACTTTAATAGGATAGTTTTAATGTTCTTTTCCCTGTTCTTACATTACATGCCAGATTTATTGTTCAGTATCCCACTTCAGATTGTATTGTGTATTTTATATTTTCTTTTTTTTTTTTTTTTTTTGGTTTTTCAAGACAGGGTTTCTCTGTGTAGCTTTGCGCCTTTCCTGGAACTCACTCTGTAGCCCAGGCTGGCCTCAAACTCACAGAGATCCACCTGGCTCTGCCTCCTGAGAGCTGGGATTAAAGGCGTGCACCACCACCGCCCGGCTAGAATCAGAGTTTTTAAAGAAGTCAGACCAGAGGAGCCTTAACTATGCATTAGAGAGACATTCTGTTTTTTTCAGAACGTAGGAAAAATAAGCTGAATTTAATATTTGGTGATAGTTGCTAAACTGGGAGAATTTAATAGTAATAGCTAATACTGAGTATATGTGTCAATTGCCACTTCTTATATATTATTTATATATTTAGTTTTCTTATGAAATTTGTTTCTTTTTGTTGTTTGTTTGTTTCCAGACAGGATTTCCATGGCTATCCTGGAACTCCCTTTGTAGATCAGGCTGGCCTATAACTCACAGAGATCCGCCTGCCTTCCTCTGCCTCCCAAGTGCTGGGATTAAATGAAATGCATTTCTTATTCCTGATTTATAGATGTAGAAACAGAATTTAGGAGGACAAATCACTTTGCAAGATCACAGAAGTTAGTAAGGAGGCCAGGTTTTGTAGCATACACCTACACCCCCAACATTTAGGAAGCCACGGCAGGAGGATCATGAGTTTGAGGGCAGCTTGGGCTAAAACGGAAAAAAAGGAGCAGAGTTGCTGAGGTGCAAATTCATGTATGGTATTTCCAAGAGCCAGATTCAGCCTTGACACGGTTAAATTGCCATGTACATGTTTCAGTGTTACATTTTCATTCAGTATCATACATACATATTCTATAGTGTTCTTCACCTGACAAAGATAAACCAAAAATGGCTGTAGTGCAGATGCAGGTAGAAGCCTGAAACTGAATTTGTTTCACTTGTTTGTGGTGATAGCCATTAAAGTGCTGTTAGGTTTTACTGTGTAGTGATCTTTAAGATTGCACTGCAGATTGTATTATATTTTAAGTAGCATAAATTATAATTTTCATTCTGTGTCTGATCATAGATTTTCTGTAGGCTAACTTGGTATTTCTTGTCACTAAGCATCTCTTGTTAGCCACAGTTGTAATGCTTATATTTTCTATGTAGTCATGTAATGCTTCCTTAAAACATTCTTGTAACACCCTGAATTTCATTTTCTTTTCTTATTTTTTAAAATCCTTTTTTAAATTTATTTATATTTTATGTATGAATGCTCTGCCATATATGATAGATGGTTGAGAACCACCATGTGGTTGCTGGAAATTGAACTCAGGACCTCTGGAAGAGCAGCCAGTGCTCTTAACCTCTGAGCCATCTCTCCAGCCCTTAAAATCTTTTGAGACAGGTATTTGTAGCCTAGGCTAGCCCCAAGCTCTCTATGTAGCCAAGGATGATCTTGAATTGATCTTCCTTCTTCCCTTTGCCTTTTAAATGCTGAGATTACAGGTACTGGGAACTGAAGCCAGGTCCTCCGTAAGAGCCTCTCCAGCTCCTAGACAGTTGTTTTTATGTTCTGTTTTGACTTTGGTATTTGCTTCTGCTCATGGTGTCTTGCTTCCTTGTGTGTTTTGTAATGTTGTTGTTGTTAAAGTAACCTATGGAGCCTGCATTGCTTCTTACTGGAAATCTGCCCCATCCTTAACTTATTCCTGCCTCTTTTTCTTTCTTTCCTTTTTTTTTGGGGGGGGGGGCTGGGTTGGGGTGGGAGGGAACAGGGTCTCATGTAGCCCAGGCTGGACTCAAACTTACTATGTAGCTGAGGATAGCTTTGAATTCCCGATTCTTCTGTCTCAACCTCTCAAGTACTAAGATTACAAGTGTGTGCCAACACACTAGCTTAATGTGTCTCTTTTTTTGTCTGACTGCTTTTTAAGATTTTATCATTGCTTTTGAACAATTTGGCTATGATGTTTCATGGTATAATTTTCTTGTGATTTCTTGTTTCTTATTCATTGAACTTCTTTGTAGATTTGTATGGTTTTTTGTTTGTTTTAGGTGGGGTTTTTTTTGGTTTTTGTTTGTTTTGTTTTGATTCTGGGGGATTTTTTTGTTGTTGTTTTTTGGAGGGTTTTGTTGTTGTTATTTTCTTTTTTAGTTTCTCTCTCTCTCTTTTTTGGTTTTTTGAGACAGAGTTTCTCTGTGTAGCTTTGGAGCCTGTCCTGGAACTCACTCTGTAGCCCAGGCTGGCCTTGAACTCACAGAGATCCTCCTGACTCTGCTTCCCGAGTGCTGGGATTAAAGGTGTGTGCCACCACTGCCCGGCTTCTTTTTTTAGTTTTTCAAGACAGGAATTTGTGTGTGTGTGTAGCTCTGGCTGTTCTCAAATTTGCTTTGTAGACCAGGCTGGCCTTACACTCAGAGATCCATCTGCCTCTGCCTTCTAAGTTTTGGGACTAAGGCATGTACCATCACCACCTGGCTATAGACTTATAGTTTTTTTGTCAAATTTGTATAAAGGGTCTCCTGTAGTCCAGGTCGGACTCAAACTTTCTATGTAGCTAAAGATGTCCTTGAACTTCTGATCTTTCTGCCTCTACCTCCCCAGGACTGTAATTACAGGTATATGCCACATACCTATTTATGCAGTGCTGCATTATACCAAACCCAGTCCTGCATGCTGTGGGAACATGGTAACAGCTGTATTACATCCCTAGTCCCATTTTCTTCAAACTTCTGAAAAATTCATCTATTTCATCAATATTTTTGTCTACCTGCCACTTTTCAGATTTCAAGTTCACTTTGAATTCACTTCCTGAAGTTTTCACACATTTAACTAATGTTCTGTTTCTGATTTTTATTTTTGTCTTTATATTCTGGTTTGCGTAGATGCTGTTACTGTACCTTCAATTGACAACTCTCTTCTCCAGTACTCAGTCTTCCATTAATCTAGTTCAGTGTTTTTCATCCTACACATTGTAGTTTTCATCTCTAGAAGAACAGTTGCAATGTATCTCCTTTTTGAGCATATAGAATAGTTATAGCTGTTTTGATGTCCTTTTATGTATCAGTTTTGGGTTGGTTTTGATTGATTAGTTATTCTCTTTATCATGGTGTTTGTTTTTCTGCTTCTTTGTATGCCTGGTTCCCCTCAAGTATTTGGCAAAATACTGACTCCAAATGTGTATAAAGGAGCTGTCTGAAGACATCCCAAAGAAAGACAGAAAAAGTGGCTCACAGTCATTCATCTAGAACATGTCTGTTCTCAGCCAGACAAACAGCCACAGTCCCTGGAGTAGTCAGGAGATACCCTACAAAGTCTTGTCTGGGGTTGGCTGATTAGCTCCAGACTGAACACACCACAGATTCACCTAAGAAGTCGGAAAAGCCTAGACTGTTTCAGGGTAACTTACTGCAACCCAGAGCAAAGGTCAACATTTATAGGAATACAGAAACACCTAGGTAGTGCAACAGATAGAAAATTCATTATATCACCATTTTTATTGTATATTTTAGATATGAGTATCTTTTGTGCATTGATAAGTCATTTGTATTTCTTTTCTTTTTTTTTTTGTTATCTGCTGTTCTTGTTCTTACCCATTTCTTTTTTGGGTTGTTGATCCTCTTTGTTAGGTATCTGGCTAATACAGTTGAAGAAGATGAAGAAGAAGCCAAGTATGAAATTTTTCCATGGGCTTTAGGGAAAAACTGGAGGAAATTGTTCCCCAATTTCTTAAAGTTAAGGGACCAACTCTGGGACAGAATTGACTATAGGGCTATTGTGAGCAGGCGGTGCTGTGAAGAGGTAAGGATTTTAAAACACTTTTGATTTATAATCTTTGTTTACCTAATTTTCCTTGGTTTATTTATTTTTGGTTTGGTTTAGTTTTGCTTCCTTTTTTGGAGGTAGATACCCACAACTAGCCCACCCCGGCTTGGAATTCACAGCCCTCTTTTGTCCTCTTTTCGGATACAAGCGTATTATGCAACTATGTCATGCCCACGTTGGTTTTTAATGCTCTCTTCCTATCTCTCTCTCTGTCTTTGTACATGTACAGAGATCATTAGCCTTAGTCACTATTACAAGAACAACTTGTATATTCTGTTTCTGCTTGAATTTTATCAGAATTAATAAAAGTTGTAATTTCCATTTTCACAGCAGACTACTTCTATACTATTCTAATTGTCGTGTCCCCCTCCTATCTGAAAGATCACCAGTATGCTAGCAAAGGACTTGTGGACATACTAAAGCATCTTATTTAAGATTATTATACAATTAGGAAACTAGAGCTGAATAATAATTTCCACTAAAGTATATAAATTTTCAAGTTTCCAACATTGAGGCCAACAGCATGGTATATAGTTTAAATAAATTTAAATATATTTAAAATCCATACCTCTTTTCACAAAGAATACATTTTTTATTTAAAAAAATTATACATAGTTTGCAAGCTAATATTTTATTTTATTTTATTTATTTTTCTATTATCAGCTTGATACAGTACAAATTCTTATCCTAATAGTGAAATGTTTCACTGAGGCTTCCCCAGTGATTGAGTAAAACCAAAACTTATTATAAGCCACAGTCATCCTAGGGTCCCCCCTGCTATATAGCCTCCCTGGTTCTGTGGGTTGCAGTCTGATTGTTCTTTGCTTTATATCTTGAATCCACTTATGAGTGAGTACATACCATGTTTGTCCTTCTGGGTTTGGGTTACCTCACTCAGGATGATATTTTCTAGTTCCATCCATTTGCCTGCAAATTTCCTGCTGTCATTGTTTTTCTCTGCTGAGTAGTACTCCATTGTGTATATGTACCACATTTTCTTAATCCATTCTTAATCCATCTAGGTTGTTTCCAGGTTCTGGCTATTACTAATAATGCTGCTATTAACATAGTTGAGCATGTATCTTTGTGGTATGATTGAGCATTCCTTGGATATATTTAACTTCATTTGAGACAGGGTCTCTCTCTCTGTGGCCCTGGCTGTCCTGGAACTCTCTATGTAGACTAGGCTAGCTCACAGAGATCAGTCTGCCTTTGTTTCCCAGGAGATGGGACTAAAGGTATGCATCACCATGCTCAGCACATTGTTTTCTTAAGGATATATTTTATTAAGATAAATCATTTTATTTATAAATGGGTTTTTTTTTTGTTGATTTGGTTTTGGTTTTTTGAGGCAGGGTTCCTTTGTGTAACAGCCCTGGCTGTCCTGGAACTCAGTTCGTAGACCAGTTTGGGATCAAAGGCGTGCACCACCCCTGCCTGGCCCTAGTACATATGCAAGGATTCAGAAATAACAGAGCACAGGAAATAACAGAAAGAGTATATAGCAGGCTAAGACTCTACAAAGTTAAAGTCAATGGGAAAAGATGAAAAGTTGTAACTTTTATATGAGGCCTCTAAAATTAATGCACTGTCATTCAAACTGAACTCATCCAGTTCCAGGGTACTGAAAGAACCCTGTAACTTACTTTTATGTCTCTATTTCTTGTATGTGGTTTTTACCTCTCTACTTGGGTCAAGTGGATAATCAATCAATGCCCATTCCTATAATCTTAGTACTCAGGAGGCTGAAGCAGGAGGATCTCAAATTCAAGTTCAACCTGGACTGCATAACTAGTGAGACCCTGTCTCAAAAAAGTAGTGAATGGCAGTTTGCATAGCTATTTGCCAACCTTGAGAGTGACAGAAGGCCATTTTGAACACCCTAACTTTTCCCAAGTATATCTACTCTGCTTCTAGTCTGTTCTCTTCCATTCTCTTTGAAACTATTACACAAAGCCTTTCCTCTGTTGTTGAACAGAACTTTGTCAAAGCCTTCTGATGGCTTCATGTTGCCAAAAGCATAGGTCAATTCTTAGTTTTTAGTCCTCCACTTAGCAGCGGTATGTGCACACTTATTTCTCTGATCCACTATCTTCATGAGGCTTTCTGAATTTCAAGGTTGACAGATTTCCACGTATTCTGTCAGCTCCCTTTCATCTCATCAGTCTTATTAAGGTGCCCTGGAGCTCAGTCCTGGGACCTATTCTTACTTCTACTGGAATTAACTTAGTAAGTGATCTCGTTCATTCTTAAGACATCAACTTAGAGGGACTGGAGAGATAGCTCAGCAGTTCACTACTTCCTAGTCATCCAGAAGACCAGAGTTCAGTTCCTGGCACCCATAGCTGGCAGCTCACAACCACTCTAACTCTACTCCTAGGGATCTGACACACTCTTCTGGTATCTACAGGCATGGGCATGTGCAGATACAGATAAAAATTAAAATATTTTTAGAAGACTTTAATGTAGAGCTCGAAAGGTCTCTCCCAATTCCAGACCTGCATATCAGACTGTTTATTCCATTGTCTGATTGAAACCTTAACATGTAAGATTGCTTTCCCGATTCCTACACATAGACCAGCAAACGTGCTTCTTTACAGTCTTCCGTATCTTAATAGGAAGCAACTCTATCCTTCTGGTTGTTCCTGTCACAAAGCTGTCTCCCCCTCATCCTTGCCTTCAAAAGCTATGCAGGGGGCTGGAGGGATAGCTCAATGGTTAAAGGCAGGGGCTGCTCTTCCAGAGGGTCCTAGTTCAATTTCATGGCATATCACAACTGTCTGTAACTCCAGTTCCAGGGGATCTAATGCTCTCTTCTGGTCTATGTGGGCACCAGACACTAGGCACATGAGTGGTAGGCATGCAGGCATACATGCAGGCAAAACACTCATATACAAAAAATAAAATTTAAATTAAAAAATCTAGCACCCTACTATTTCTTAGCATTTCTACTACTAACACTTTATCACTGGTTGCCTTAATTGTTATAACTTTGCAAATAGTCTCTCCTGGGCATGGAATGTACCTTAGAGACTGAGTGTTTGCCAAGCATACCCACAGCCCTAGATTCAATTCCTGATACCATAAAACAAAAAGCAACAAAAAGTGTCATAACCTTTTTCCCTTATAGTTTGCTCTTGGTATAAGTGTGAAAGTAATTATTTGTTAAGTCTCCCCACAGTAAGTTTCTTAAAATTGTATTTGTATAGATATTTTACCTGCATGTATGCCTATACCACATGCATACCTGGTACCCACAGAGCCCAGAAGAGGGCATCAGAACTGCTGGGACTGGAGTTATGGACTGTTATGAGCCATCATGCAGGTGCTGGGAATCAAACTCAGGTCCCCTGGAAGAGCAGTAAGTGCTCTTAACCACTGAGCCAACTCTCCAGTCCCCACTCCAAGTGAGTTTTTTTTTTTTTTTTTTGATTTTTCGAGACAGGGTTTCTCTGTGTAGCTTTGCGCCTTTCTTGGAACTCGCTTTGTAGACTAGGCTAGCCTCGAACTCACAGAGATCCGCCTGCTTCTGCCTCCCGAGTGCTGGGATTAAAGGCCGTGCGCCACCACCACCCGGCTCCAAGTGAGTTTTTTAATGACTCTTCTTTTCAGAAATTCCCAGTAGCTTCCCAGTTCATATAGGGTATAAGGCAACATTGACCTTACTATGGTCCTTAGCTCCTTTATCACTTGGTCCACATCTCCTGACCATGCTTATCCATTGTTTGTTCTTTTCTGACCTCTCTATATAAAGTCTTCCTTTCAGCTACACTAGCCTCCTTACTGCTCTCAATCAAGCCAGGTACATTTACACGGTAGGATCTTTGCATTTGTCTTTCTCAATGGCAGGCATGGGGTCTGCACCCAGAGTGTGGTTGACACACCCAGTGACACTCAACTGTAGAAAACTGACCCCTGCCCTCTCTCCCAGCAAGAATCAACTGCAAGAATCCTCTCAACTGGGGTAGGACCCTGTGTCTACCTTCTTCGCCTCTGAGTGCTGGAATTTTGTCTGGCTTGAACCCATGCAGGTGTGAATACTTGGTGGTTGAGTAGTAAGATATGTTGTTAGAAATTAGGCAACCTGCCGGGCGGTGGTGGCGCACACCTTTAATCCCAGCACTCGGGAGGCAGAGCCAGGCGGATCTCTGTGAGTTCGAGGCCAGCCTGTACTACCAAGTGAGTCCCAGGAAAGGCGCAAAGCTACACAGAGAAACCCTGTCTCGAAAAACCAAAAAAAAAAAAAAAAAAAGAAATTAGGCAACCTATACATCTGTTACTGAAATCCTGTACTAGCATACTGTCAATCAAAACAATTCTTTAGTCCTATATTCTAAAATGAACTCACACTGGAATAGTAGCTAAAAGTGTGCTTATAATAGTAATATGTATTTGCATAGTATTTGTGGTGGTTTGAATGAGAATGACCCCATAGGCTCAGATGTTTGAATACTTGGTCCCCAGTTGGTGGAACTGTTTGGGAAGTATTAGGAGGTGTGTTGGAGGACGTGTGTCCCTGGGGGTGGGCTTTCAGGTTTTAAAACCCAATGCCATTCCCAGTTAGCTCTCTCTGCCTTGTGCTGCTGGATCAAGGTGTAAGCTACAGCACCTTTCCTGTCTGCCTGCTGCCATGATGTCATCGACTATGTCCCTCTGTCACTGTGAGCCCCAAATTGAACATCTTCTAAGTTGTCTTGGTCATGATATTTTATCATAGCAATAGAAAAGGAACTAAGTAATATTCTAACTCAATATGCATGGGTTTTTTTATTTTTATTTTATATGCATTGGTATTTTGCTTTCATGTATGTCTATGTGAGGGTTTCAGATCTTGGAGTTACAGTTGTGAGCTGCCATGTAGGTGCTGGGAATTGAACCAGGTCCTCTGGAAGAGCAGCCAGTGCTCTTAACCACTGATCCATCTCTCCAGCCCCAATATGCATTGTTTTATCCTCACAAAGACACCTCTGAGGATG